AACATGGCTCCGATCGCGGCCAGCCACCAGCAGTTCGGTAAGCGCGTCCCGGCCCCAAACTCCCCGCCAGCGGGTCTGGGGGCTGCTCCCCTCCCCGGGAGAAGCGCACATAGGCAGCGCCTGCTGAGCCACCCTGCGCCTGCCAGCACGCAGCTTGCTGGGAGGAACCTGGTTTCTCCCAGGTCTCTTCGATCTCAGAAGTTGTGTGAATTTGCTTTCTTTCCCTTCTCTCTCTTTTCCTTCCTCCCTACCCTTTCCCCCCGCTAAAGCAGTGGGAAAGATGAGAGGTTTGTGTAGATCTGGTTTTGGACGAGAGCGGCTTGGGGTTGTTGTCTCTGTCTTGGTTAAAGTAGTGTGGCTTCAGAGTTAAATGATGTAAATTCATCCTGTGCCACAGAGGAAATCTTGGTTCAAGCCATTCTTGGAATAACTGTCATTCCTTTTTTCTTGTTGAGGAGAAAGACTTGTCAATGGTTAGTTAAACTGAAAGGTAGTCTTGTAAAGGACATTGCTAGGAAGATGAAAATACAGGATCCCAGTTTTTTTAGCTAAACAGCTGCATCTTACTCAATCTGCCTTCATTGAGAATAGTAATGATAACAATGAACTTTTCAATTTTGTCATTTATATGCACTGGATATAAAGTGATTAACTGATATCCAAAGTTTCAGAGACAGTCATATATGTACACTTATAAAATAGATACATAAATAACTTTACTTAGAAATGCAGTAAGAAATGTTTCTGAACTCTGCTTTACAAATATTGACTCTAGCCAATATATTTGCTCTAGTAGTGGTTTAATTCAAGGATTATTCCATTGACTTAAGTAAAGTGATTCCAGATTTATATCACGTAACTGAAATAATAACTTCTCCCAGAATCAATAGGTGATGTTTCCTATCAATATACTGCCTTGAATGTTAACCAATTGATTTACATTATGACAAGAGCAAGAAATTCAGGTCGCAACACAATTAGTTGTAAATATAAAAACATTTTAGTTACCATTTCATCTTCTTTCCTACCCCACCCATTTGATGTTTCTAACCACACCTGTGACATCATGCTTGTCTAATTACTTATTTAAGAAATATAATTAATGTTTTAAACACCAAATTTATTCTACCACTGCTTTCAGTGGCTGTAGAATTAAAACACAGCATAATATCCATTACTATAAAAGTCTGTCATCTCATGAAAAAGTATTGTAAATGTGCAAATTATTCTTAAAAGCTTTTAAAGTATTCTGATTAGTTTTCAGTTACTTCTTGCTTTTTACTTTTATATCATGTAAATTTAAATTTCTGCAGCCCAGGGAATTCCTGAAACTCAGAGCCATGTGCTTAACTTAGAAAAAATACTTTTTCTTACAATTAAGTATGTAGACTGATACAGCTTGTAGGGACAGGGAAAGTGACATGAATATTGTCAAAAGAAATTAATAGCCAGGCCTGATCCTTTCTGTGCTGGAACATTATGTCCTACTTCGCTCTCATATTATTGTTGTGGATTTTTTTGACTCATCCCACTAAAAAGCAAAGGTATAGTGGCAGCACATCTATCTGCCCAGCTTTTACCTGGATGAAGCTGATTTAATAATACGTAGAGGGGGATAGTTTTGCTTTTCTCATGCAGAACGATCTGCTAATGATTTGCAAGAGAACCAGAACTGTTACACAATTGCCTTTATGCATAAACAATGCCATTCCATTAATATTCTGCTGGTCTTCCAGTGTTGCAGGGAATAAAGATTAAGCTCTGATTGTTACATTGTGGGAGGTTTAAATGCACTTAGTAATGTTACTTATGGGCAAAATTGGATTTCCAATTAGTTGTGCTCATTTGCCCCTTCGATGCATGCTTTGAAGGACTAATGATACTCTGTATGTAACTAATGTATCCACATGACAAGGTTGTAACACTTGCTCAGTTTTCTCTTTATTCAGTTTAAGACTTATATTAAGATATAAGAGAATTATGTATTAATCTTTTTCTTATATACTCCTAAAAAGTAGTGACCCTTCCTGTAAACTCCCCATAGCTTTGATTCATAGTGTTGTAAATGCAAAGCTTAGTTGTTATCAGAGATGCACTTAATAGTTTTTTCAGCTTTGGACTCACATGTGACTGGCCAATGTCACATCCATCTGGAAAAGACATTTAGTATATAATTATTCTAAATTTTCTTGATAGACTTCTTCCTGCAAAGTATTGAAAATCCCATTGAAACTGTTGAGTGTTATAACCTCCAATTAAGCTCAGTTCTTTCAAGAGATACCTCCAGGCAATTATGGGATCAGACCATAAAAAATGAGTTAATTGAGTGCACAAAGTATTCAAGGAAACATTGTGGAAAGCAGATGATGTATCTATAAGTAATGCATATTTCAGAATCTGTTTTGTCTAACCAAAAAAGCTCCATAAACTCAAAGCTGAAACATTTTGAGAGCTGATATTGTTCACAGACATATAAACTCAGAAACTACACACAGAGGAATGAGATAGTCAAGCAATTATTAATGGTTATTACTATTAGGATGGGGATAGTATTTTCCTCCCAAACACTCTGTGTATGGAAAAATACTAACATAACGAGTGTGCCTTAGTGTGGGACTACACATTCATGCCTGCAGGTGGCGAGCAATATGTACAATGCAAAGCACTTTCAGTCTGTCGATCCTGCTGCTATTACCTTCTCGTATCAGTTTGTTTTACTAAATTATTACTTTATTAAATATCACACAGAGTCCAAGGCATTGCTGCTTATGTGCTTGTTGCTATTTATTTGATTTGCAGATGAAATTCCTACAGTGGTTGGGATCTTTAGTGCATTTGGCCTTGTCTTCTCTGTCTCCCTTTTTGCTTGGATCTGCTGTCAACGTAAATCTTCCAAATCCAATAAGACCCCTCCATATAAGTTTGTCCATGTTCTGAAGGGGGTTGATATTTACCCTGAGAATCTCAACAGTAAGAAGAAGTTTGGAGCAGATGATAAAAGTGAAGCAAAGAACAAATCAGTGATGCCAAAGAATTCTCTCCATCTTGACCTGGAGAAGAGAGATCTAAATGGCAACTTCCCCAAAGCAACCCCTAAAATCGAGAGCTCTCCAGATCTTGAAAATTTGTCTCCCAAGCATTTTTTAGAAAGGAAGAAAGATTCAGTATCCCCTGATAGTTTAAAATCCATCACTTCCCTATCATCTGAAGATAAACAAGACAAGCTAGGAACTCTCTTTTTCTCCTTAGAGTACAACTTTGAGAAAAAGGCATTTGTAGTGAACATCAAAGAAGCACGTGGTCTGCCAGCAATGGATGAACAGTCAATGACTTCTGATCCCTACATCAAAATGACAATCCTGCCTGAGAAAAAGCACAAGGTGAAAACCAGAGTGCTGAGAAAAACCTTAGATCCAGCTTTCGATGAGACCTTCACGTTTTATGGGATCCCCTATAGCCAAATTCAAGACTTAACACTTCACTTTATGATCTTGAGCTTTGACAGGTTTTCCAGAGATGATGTCATTGGAGAAGTCCTCATTCCCCTCGCAGGAATTGAACTGTCAGAAGGAAGGCTGCTAATGGACAGAGAGATCATCAAAAGAAATGTTAGGGTAACATATTTTTTATTTAAAATTTAAAAGTGTTGTGCTAGTGTTAGCTCTGATTCTTGTGTAATGCTGCTACCATCTTGGAAAGAAAAGAGAGCAAGTTCATGATACAAGTCATTGAGATGCTTTCATAATGGCAGTATGAGGAAGCAATTACACAAATGTAATAAAAGAACATTACAGTGAGCATGCTGCAAGAAATTGCTAGTCTCCTAAAATCTACTTGCTTATTCAGGTTTGAGTGGACTCATTTACATTAGATCAACCACCCTCAATCCACATTAATTTGCTTTAAAAAGAAAGAATACCAAGTTTTATACATACTCCTCTTCTTCTCCCTCCCCTTTTCTGTTTGAAATCATACTTTCTTAAAGCTTTTTGAAGTCAATGTAAATCTTTCACTTCAACTACATGGGTTTTATAGCAGATTCTTAAAGAATGCAGGTAGCCTTTAGTTAAGGAATTGGAACTTGTGGGAGACCATAGTGTTGATACAGTAGTATGTTCTTGCACTTCAGTGCTGTTAACTACCTTCTCGCTCAAGAATTGTGACAGAGGCTACAGTTCTACTAAAGGATAGTAAGGCACGAGGGAGAAGCCAAAGCCCTACTGAAGTCAATGGCAAAACACACTGACTTCACTGGGCTAAAGATATTTCATACCATTTTGTCACATTTCAGAATGTAAAGATCATTTACAACCATCACAGTTGAACCAGAGAAATGCACATGCATCACACAAACGCCTCTTAATCTCTACTAAGGAAGTGGAATGTGTATTGACTTTCAATTTGATTGTTTTCAAGGAGCAAGCATGCTGCCAAATCAAATAAATGTCTACCAGACAACATACCTATAACTAATACTGTTATTTTACAATTCTATTGCTGTATTACAACAACTATTACTATGTCACTGATATTTTGTTGATAAGTTATTGGGGTTTGGGGTATATAGGGTATTATTTTTGCTTGCTTCCCTTGCCTCCCTCCTTTCTGTGAAATATTTAAACTACTCCTGCAAATTCAAATCTAATAATCAGAGAACGTCTTTGATCTCATCTTTATTTCATGTATATTATACTACTTTAGAAAGTGTCAGGGATGAGGTTTCATTAACTGTTTGAATCCTTCCTGTTTAAAAACATTATATTGAAGATTGTTCTATTTACCTTTATTCAATTTTAATTCTTTTTCAATGTATTTTTACGGAATTTTCTTTTGCTTAAGATCTTTTTCTTTCACTGAGATTTTTTTCTCAGGGTGTAAGATTTCATCTCTAATCTCTGAAGGTAATGATGTCATGTCAACCTATGTTTTATTTTATTTTTTTAAGCTTAATAACCAACCATAATAAGAATTCTATAACTACAGTACAGAGAAATTACATTTGCTATGTAAAGCAGCACAACTCTGTAAGTTGTATCCTTTTACACCATTTCAGAACATAGAGTTATGTGACATTTTATAAATCTTCTTAATTCTGGTTTAAAGCTTGGTTGATATAATTGCATATACATTGTCATTTCTTTTTTTCTTTCATTTCCTCAGAAATCTTCAGGGCGTGGAGAATTACTGATCTCTCTCTGTTATCAGTCTACAACAAACACGCTCACTGTGGTTGTTTTAAAAGCCAGGCATCTACCTAAATCTGATGTGTCAGGATTATCAGGTAATGGTTTTACTAATGAATATGCCCTAAGAATATAAAACAAACAGAAAGAAGACAGCTGAAATGTGGCATTTCAAAGACTAAAAATAGCCCATAAATATAGAAATGGTGTCTCTATTGTTTTTAGCTTATTACTTTTATTCATATCTGGGTCGAAGATTTATTTTCCAGGGTATTTATTTTACAAATTTCTTCTTCAATCACATGTTAAAAAAACATGACGTCAGAACCCATCTGCCATAAGTATGAGATGTTGTTTGCAGATACTAAAAGCTTTTATTTATGACAAAAAATCAGTTTATTTACGGAAGATCAGTATTGAGTGAGATCATCATATGGTTTATTTCAGCTTAGCACCGAGAAAAGCAACAGTTACATCTGTGCTGAATTTGTCCCACTGAGCCCTAACGTTCCTTTGGCAAGGTGAAAAGGTGAACTATGCCAGTGCTGGAAGCAGGCTGTAACGTAACACCCGTGCTTTACCACGAGCTGTACTTGGGGTGCACTAAGAAGGGATCACAGAATCACAGAATCAACTAAGGTTGGACAGGACCTTCAAGATCATC